CCCATCCCATCCCATCCCATCCCATCCCATCCCATCCCCATCCCATCCCATCCCATCCCATCCCATCCCATCCCAAATGGAGCCGCAGCCTCCAGCACGCCGTGGCCTCTGCGATGGTTCCCAACCTCTGTCCCAGGGGTGATGTTGTCACCAGACGTGGCTTTTTTGGGTTGGAAAGGGCAGGATTTGGGCCATGCGCTGGTCTGAGGTGGTTTTGGGGAGAGGTGGTTGGGTGGGATTTGGGAATCTGGGATGCTCTGGGGTGAAAGGAAAAAAAGAAAAAAAAAGGGGGGGATGCAAAGAGAAAATGAAGAGGGGAATGGGGGGAAATAGCGGGGGAATGGGGGAAAATTGGGGGATAAAGGGAGGGGGGAAGGGGAGAAAAGAGTTGAGGAAGAGAGGAAAAGAGGGGCAGAAAGGAGAAACAAAGGGAAAAAGGGGGAAATGGGGAAATGGGAAAACTGGAAATAAAACATGGGGGAGAGGGGATAAAGGGAGGAAATGGGGAACAAGAAGGGAAAAACATGGGAAAAGTGGGGGGAAATGAAAAAAGGGGGAAGGGGATGAAGAGGAGGAAGAGTGGTAAATTGGGAAAAGAGGAAAAATAAGAAACGAGGAAAAGGGGTGGAAGGGAGGAGAAAAGCGGGGCAAACAGGAAAACAAGGGAAAGGGGGGGAAAGGGATGATAGGAAGGAAAAACAGGAAAAATGAGGGAAGGAGGGGGAAGAGGTGAAGCAGAGGGCAACAGGGAGAAACAGAAGAAACGGGGGAGACAGAGGAAAAGCGGGGTGAAATAGAGGGGGGGAAAGGGTAAATGGGGAAAAAAGTGGGGAAAGGAGAGAAATCCGGAAGGAAATCCGGGGGGAAACGGGGAGAGCAGAGGTAAAGAGGGAACGAGGGATCGGCGGGATGCCCGAGCCCCGGCGCCCTCGCGCGGCAGCGGCCACGCAGCCTCCGTGGGGTCGGGACGTGCCCCCGGGGCCACCCCACAGTCCCCAGTGCCCCCCAGCCCCCCAAAATCCCCACAGCTCCTCAGCATCCCCAGAGCCCACATCGCTCTCCCTGAGCACCCAGTGCCACCCCAGAGCCACCCCTGTGTCCCCAAATCCCCCGGTGTCCCCACAGCCCCCCAGTGCCCCCATAGGTCCCCAAGAGTCCCTCCAGAATCCTCCAAAGCTCCCAAATTCCGCCCCCCCCCCCAGGCCCCATAACTCCACTCGGTGCCCCCACAGCTCCGTCCAGTACTTCCATATCCCCCACAGCTCCCCCATATCCCCCCAATACACCAATAGCCCACCCTGTGCCACCCCAGGACCCCCACACCCTCTGAGTGCCCCCCCCGATCTCTCCCAGTGCTCCCAGTAGACTTCCCCAGGGTCCCCCCACACAGCCACCACAGCCTCGCCCCATTATCCCCTGTGGCCCCCCAATTCCTCTCCTCAGCCCTTACAGGCTCCCAGTCTGCCCCAGCGCCCCCATAGCACCCGAAGAGCCCCCCGGATTGCTCAGTGTCCCCCCATATCCCCCCCAGTCTCCCCAGCTTTCCACACCGCTCTCCCAGCGCCCCCAGTGCACATCCCGTCCTTGCCCAGCCGGTGGCCCGGGGACACCCCAGCTGGCCTCGGGGGGACGGACCCCGAGTCGGAAGGGCTTTGGTGGCCACGAGTGAGCCACGAGCCCCAACGTGATCCCCGAGAGCACCGGGACAGGGACCAACCTCCCCCCGCCACCGCGCGGCAGCGGCGCCGGCCACGGGAAACACCGGGTGCTGTCACCCCCGTACCGCAGCCTCCGCCGCTACCGGCGCTGACACCCTCGCGGTGACCCCGGCTGACCGCAGGAAACACCGGGGATCGTGGCCACCGATCCCGCTGCAGCACACGCCGCCGGTAACGACCCCGGGCATCCCCGGGGATGTCCCCGGGCGAGCCCCGATAGCTCCGGGCGGTGCTGCGATACCTCCTGCGGCACCGGCCCGGCCACGGCCGGACTGACCTTGGGAAACACCGGGGACGGCTGTCAGCACCCCCGCCAAGCCACCCGATGCCCGCCGCATCCCCGGGTGACCCCCGGTGGCGGCGGGGCCGGTGCCACCATCCGGCCAGTGCAGCATCCCGCCGGGGCCGGTCCTGGGGCAGCCCCGAGGTGACTCCGAGCGACCCCACGCAGCAGCGGGGACCCCACGGGACCCAGGTCACCGTCTCCCCGCTGCGGCATCCCGCCGGTACCGGCCCTCAGCATCCCCCGGGGTGATTCCTGTGAACACCGGGGACCAGTGCCACCGTCCCCCCGCTGCGGCATCCCGCCGGTACCGGCCCTCAGCATCCCCCGGGGTGATTCCTGTGAACACCGGGGACCAGTGCCACCGTCCCCCCGCTGCGACATCCCGCCGGTACCGGCCCTCAGCATCCCCCGGGGTGACTCGGCGTGGCAGCAGGGACAGGTACCACCACGCCTGTATCGCTGCCTGCCCTCGGTGTGGACGCTCCGCATCCCCAGGGTGACCCCGGGTGACCCCGGCGGCGGCCGGGACCGGTGCCACCAACTTCACGCCGCGTCTTCTCGCCCGAACCGGTTGTCAGCATCCTCGGGGTGACCCCGGGGTGACCCCCGGTAACGGCAGGGACCGGTGCCACCATCCCCAGCCTGCAGCATCCCGCTCTGGGAAACACCGGAATGACTCGAGCATGACCCCATGCAGAAGCGACGACCGGTGCCACCAACTTCACGCCGCGTCTCCCCGCCCGAACCGGCTCTCAGCATCCTCGGGGTGACCCCGGGGGTGACCCCCGGTAACGGCAGGGAGCGCTGCCGCCATCCCCAGGCCGCAGCATCCCGCTGGGCCTGACTCTGGGCAGCCCCGGGATGACTCCTGGGACCCCCGAGCACCGGATCTCCGCCGCCCCCCGTTCCCTCGCCCCTCGGGCCCCTCCGCGCCCCCTCCCCTCTGCGTTGCCATGGCGACCCCGCTCCCCCCGCCGCCGCGCCCCCCCCCCGCCCGCGGGGTTGCCATGGCGAGCGCGAGCCGCGGGCGCGCGGCGCGGCGGGCGGGGCGCGCGGGGCGGGGCGGGGGCGGCGATTGGCCGGGCGGCCCCCACGTGACGCGCGCAGGAATGCAAATGAGCGATGGCCTCGCGCCGCCGCCGCGCCGCCGCCTGAGGGAGGGAGGAGGGAGCGGGCCCGGCCCGGCCCCGCCGGGACCCCCGCGCCCCCCGCTCCGCCGCCCCCCGCCGCCCCCCGGGCCATGGCACGGCCCGCCCGCCGCCGCCGCCTCCGCCTCGCCCGGCCCGGCACGCAGGTACCGCGCGTGCCGCCGCTACCGGGCCCCGGCGGCTTTGTCTGGGCCGGGGGGTGGGGGGTGTGGGGGGTCTGAGGGGAGGGGGGGCCGCGCATGCGCACTCGCCGTGCCTCAGTTTCCCCACCCCGGGGCCGTGGACTCCGCCGCTCCCCGCTCCCCGTGGGGCCCCCCATTACTCACCCGTATCTGTGTCTCCCCTCCTTCCCTTTCTCCTGCGCCCCCTCCTCTGGCTCTGGACTCTATTATTATTATTATTATTATTATTATTATTATTGTCCACCATCATATTCCAGTGCCCCCGTGTTATCTCTGGCCCCCTATACTATATCTGACCCCCTTGTCTTCTATCCCACCCCTTGTCATCTTATCCCACTCCCCATCTTCCACTCCCTTTTCTGGTTTTGCACCGTTAGTATTATTCCCAGCCCCTACCATCGTGTTCCAGTCACTACTGTTTTGTCTGACTCCCCCTTTATTAAATCTGACCCCCTCTTTTCTATCCCACCCCCTCTAGTGTTTCCCACCCCTCACCAGGATCTTGCATCCCCCCTCTTATCATTCCCTATGTCATATCCTGCTGCTCCCTATCCTGCACCCCTTTATTGTTATTTTTGCTCACCCCCAGTCATTTGCCACTGCTTGCTGTTACCTCTGACCCCCTGTATTGTATCTGACCTCCCTCACTTCTATCCAACGCTGTCATTAGTGTTTTCTTCTCTTTCCCATTATCTTCCACCCCTTCCTCTGCTTTTGCTCCTTATTACTGTTCCCATCCCATCATCATTTCCCAATCCCTACTCTTTTATCTGACCCCACTCTTCTTTATCCTACCTTCCCACCAAATCCCACCCTTCACCAGCACCTTGCATCCCCCCTTATTCTGAACCCTCATATAATTCCCCCCATCTTCCCCGTCTATATCCCATATTGCCCCCACATCCTGTCTGTATGTCCATTCCAACCCATTCCTCCAAGATTTCCCTACCCCCTCATCATTTCCCACCTCCGTTTTTGGACTCAGCTCAGGGAATTCCATCTCTTCCTGTCCTGGCTGTGGGACCCCCCATGTTCCCCCAGCTCAGTGGGTCCCAGCAGTACTCAAAACATTCCTTTTTTTTGTTATTTTGGGTGGGTGTAATAATTTGGAGGTTTGACCTCTGGGTGAAAAGTGAGGTATCCCCATCTGACAGCCCAGCTTCCCTGGTGGGGTTTGGTGTGGGTGAGGGCAGGAGGCTTGGACCCACAGTGGGTGGGAGCTGTGGGGGCTTCCTGGGCTTTGCCCACCCCTGGAGGGTTGACTCCAGATGGGCCTGGTGTGATCCCTCTGTGTCGGTCACTGCGGTGACCCCGTGTGAACTCGATGCCACCAGAGCAGAACAAACAATTCTGTGGCTGTTGGGTGGGAAAAGTGCTGCCTAAAGCCTCTCCAGCTGATGCTGAGGGCGTGCCATGGATGCAGACCAGAGGGTGGGAAGTGTCACAGGCCACATGTACTGTCACACGTGGATGTCCCACCCTGTGCTTCGCCACGGTGGCATCTCAGGGGACAAAGCCCCACGGGCTACACAAGGCCAGGACATCACTGCTGCCACGTCCCTCGTGTGCCGGGCTGGGATGGCCTGGTGGGGCTGTGCTGTGCCATGGTGACCAAGGCCACCCTCAGTGGCTGCTGTCCATAGTCTTCAGTGTCCCACACTGTTGTCCCTGGTCCTGCTGCGGTGGCACTGCAGGGGCTCAAAGGGGTGACACGGGTGGAGCGCGGTGGCTGTCAGTGACCAGTGGCTGTGGTGACAGAGGTGGCACCCACAAAACCCCCTCTCTGGCCCCCACATCACTGTCCCCATCCTCCTGTTCTTCTGTCATGCTGTCCATCCCCCTCCTGCCATCCATTCGTCCCTCTTCTTCCTTCCATCTGCCTTTCCCCTCATCTGTTTCCTCTGTCCATTCTTCCTTGCATCCCTGCATCCCTTCCTATGTCCATCCAGCCTGTCTTCTCCCTTCCTCCCTTTTGTGTCTTTTCATCTGTCCATACTTCCTCTCTCCTGTCTGGTCTGTTCTTCCCTCCATCCCTTGGTCCCTCATTTTCCTGCTTTTTTTCAGCATTTCTTTCTATCCTTGGATTCTTTCCTCATTCTGTCCATCTGTATATCCGTCCATCACTCCTTTTGTTCTTAGAGCCATCATTCCTTCTGTCTGTCATTTATTCTGTCCTCCTGTCCATCCTTCCTTCCATCCTTGACCCCTCCTTCCTTCTCTCTTTCCTGTCCTTCTTGTCTCTTCTTCCTTATTTATTTCCATCTGTCCTTATGTCCATCCTTTTTTCCATTCCCTCCTCCCATCTATTTTCCTTTCTGCCCATCCACCCTTCCATTTGTCCCTCCCTTTCCATTCATCCTTCTGTCCATCCCTTTCCTTCTCCTGTGTGTCTTTCTCTCTGTCTTTCCATCCTTTATCCCTTTCCTGCTTCCACCTGTCCTTACATCTACCCTTTCCTAATTCCGTAACTCCCTTGGTTTCTCTCTTTCCTTCCTTCTCTCCCCTCATTTCCTTCCCTCCATCCATCTCTCCATTCCTCATTTCCTTTTGTCTGTCTATCCCTTCATCCCTCTCTTCCTCCAGTCCATCATTCTATCCATCCCTACCTCCTCACCTCCATCTCCCTGCCTTCCAGCCTTCCCTCTGTCCACCCTTCCTCCTGTCCTTTCCTCCCCCCTGTACTGTCCATCCTCCTGTCTATACTCCCTTCCCCATTTTCCCTGAGGTGCTGACCCCCACTTTAGTGGAGGAGGATGAGCCACAGGCTCTCCCATCATTCTTCCTCTACCCCAGCTTCCTCCTCCTCCTCTGTGATCCCATCCCTCATCCGGACATGATGGATCCCCCCTCACTCTGTTCCTCCTGCCCAGCTCTAGTCTGACCCCCTTCCACCATCCCGCCCCGGCCCCGCCATGGAGAATGAGCAGCTCCCAGCTCCAGCTCCTGCCAGCAGCGCCGGTGGCACAGCCCCAGCACCCGCCAGCACCGCGGCCACGCGCCCGCCCGGGCCCCAGATCTCCGTCTACAGCGGCATCCCCGACCGCCAGACCGTGCAGGTACGGGGCAGGGGGGCACCGGGGGCTTGGGGGCCTTGGGGGGGTCGTGGCACAGCCCGGGGCCACATTTCCTCCCCAAAGGTGATCCAGCAGGCGCTGCACCGGCAGCCCAACACGGCGGCGCAGTACCTGCAGCAGATGTACGCGGCGCAGCAGCAGCACCTCATGCTGCAGACGGCCGCGCTCCAGCAGCAGCACCTCACCAGCGCCCAGCTCCAGAGCCTGGCCGCCGTCCAGCAGGTATGGGCACCCCGCGGGCACGGGGGGACGCTCAGGGCTGGCACAGCCCTCACCTTCGGCTTTCCCCCAAGGCAAGCCTGGCGGCGAACCGGCAAAGCGGCTCCTCGGGGGGCAATGGCACCCAGCCGGCCCCGGCACAGCAGCCCACGGTGAGTCCCTCAGCCTCTCGGCGCCCCACCCGTGCCCACCTGTGGCACCGCCCCGACCTTCTCCTGATGCCCCATTCCAGATCAACCTGGCGACGTCGCCGGCGGCGGCACAGCTGCTGAACCGGGCGCAGAGCGTGGGGCCCGGGGCGTCGGGCATTGCTCAGCAGGCCGTGCTGCTGGGCAACACTGCCTCACCCGCCCTCACCGCCAGCCAAGCCCAGATGTACCTGCGGGCACAGATGGTAAGGGTGGGGCCTCAGCATCCCGATGGGGCACCCAGGAGCATTAGGGTGTCCATCATCCTGTTGTGGGGTGACCAGGACCCACAGAGTGCCCGTGGCCATGCTATGACACTGGGGGTGCTCATTGCTCTGCATGGCATGCCTGGGACTTGTGGGGAATCCATAGGGTGCCTAGAGCCTGTGGGGTGCCCCCAACCCTCCTGGGGCTCTGAGGACCCCACAAGGTGCCTATCAGCCTGCTGTCAGGTGTGTAGACTTCATGAGGTGCCTTCACTCAGCTGAGGGAACCCAGCTCCCATATGGGGTGAGCCCCATCCCCCTGGGGATGCCCAGACCCCACAGAGCACCCAGATCCCTACTGGGAGTACACAAGCAGGCGCTCTTTGCCTTTTGGGGGATGCTGGGACCCTGTCCCACACTGGGTGTGCCTGTTCCTACGCTACACAGATAGATAGATACCCATGTGCCACTCTGTAGGGACACAGAGGAGGGACACACAGGGTGTGCCGCCCCTGACATGGTGAGCCGTGCACCCACTCTCCCTGTCCCCAGCTCATCTTCACACCCACGGGCCCCGTCAGCGCTGTCCGGCCCGAGAGCCCCGCGCCAGCCCCTCCACCGGCCCCGCCACCTGCCCCACCACCCACCACCCCTCAGGTGAGTCTCCCCACCCCTGCCAGCCCCACAGAATCTGCCCTGGCACCCCTGACCCGCTGCCGTTGCAGGTGCACAGCCTGGCCCTGCGCCCCGCCGGCCCCCACCTCCCTGCCCTGGCCATGAAGCCCCCCGGGGGTGCCCCTCCCCGGGCTGGCCCCCCCCGGGGGCCCCCGCCCGAGCCCCCCGCCGAGCACCTCAAAAAGGCCGAGGGGCACGAGGGCCGCACCCATGCCCTGGCCCGCACCACCGCCCCCGCTGCCACCCACCCGCTCGTCACCCCAGGTAAGGGGCTGCTCCGGGGCGGGGGACACCCCTGGGTGCTGGGGGAGTCACAGGTTATCCACGCTGAGCCCTAGTGGTGGCCCACACTGGTGTGTCCTGGACGTTGTCACCTGCCTGTATCTGGGACCTTGGGGGTCCATCCCCTCACTGGCAGGGGCCCTGCGCGGGAGGGTCTCAGCACCCATAGGATCCCAGGGTCCTGTGGGGTGCAGGGGGCAGGGGCAGTGAGGGTGTGAGCCAGGGGGCTCCGTGAGTGCTGGAGCCTGGGCTGCTGCGCTGGTGTGGCTCCCAAAACTGGGGACCACCCGCCCCGGGACAGCCCGGGCGCAGCTTCCCACGTCAGCAGCAGGAGCTGGCAGAGCTGGTTGTCATCAGAGGGAACAGATACAGAGCAGCTGGGGGTGGGTCCCGTGGGGCTGAGGTGCTGGTGATGAGGGGGGATCTCTGTCCCCATTGCTGTCCCCGCAGCCTATGCCCCGCTGCAGCCTCCCCAGTTCCTGCAGCAGCCGCCGAAGCCGATGCAGCCGCAGCCACCGCAGCAGCAGCAGCAGCAGTTCGTCATCCAGCAGCAGCAGCAGCAGCTGGGCCCCCGTGGGCAGCCTCCCTCGGGACCCCCCACAACCCCCCAGCTGCAGCCCCTGCCCCCTGCCAGCCCCGGCACGGGCCCCCAGCCCAAAACAGGGGTCCCCCAGGGAGCAGGGGGCGAGGGTGGCCCCCCCAACGGGCACCCTGGCTGCCACGCTGCCCCCCGCAAGTTCCAGCACGCCTCGGCTGTCATCCTGCAGCTGCAGCCCACCGGCCCCACGGTGAGGGGTCCCCAGACCTCCCCCCAAACCTTCATCATGAGGGGCCCCCAAACGTCCCCCAAAGCCGTCCCAAGCCTCCCAGCAAACTCCCCCCAAACCCTCATGGTCCCACCAAACTCCCCCAAGCCCTTTGGTGGGGGGAGCTCAGGGGAGGGAAGGAAGAACGGGGGCACTGAGTGGGAGTGGGGATGTTGGGGAGTCAGCTGAGTGCACACACGTGTGAGTGCACAGTCCCTGCACACGTGTGTGTGCATGTGTGTTCCTGAAATGTGCACGGGGGCCCAGTTGTCACGTCAGCCTGCAGCTGTTCAGGTGTGCACGCTGGGGCCACACGGTGTGTGTCTACCTGTTCCACACCGTGCGCGCACGGGTTTGCCCCATCCATGGCTGTGTGTGCCTGGTCCTGTGCATGGGGAGCATGTGGCTGATGTGTGTGTGTGCACACGTGTTTGACCTTGTATGTCTGACCATGCATGTGTGCACTGGACCCCTGCACGTGTGTGTGCACAGCTTTGCCAGATGCATGCACATGCATGTGTGTCTGCTCCCTGCATGTGTGTGTGTACTTGCTCCAGGTCCATGCACATGAGTGCAGACATGCTTGCCTGACCTGTGTGTGTGCACATGTGCTTGATCCATGTGTCTGGCCTGTGCATGTGTGTCACACTCATGCCAGACCCCTGCACGTGTGTGTTTGTAGGGGTGTGTACAGGCTCCCTGCACACAGGTACAAATGCATGTGCCAGATCAGGTGTGTCTGGACACACGTGCCGGACTGCAACACATGTGCATGCCACTCTAGGCACATGCTTGTGTGTGACCCATGCACAGGTGCGCACACTCCAGTCGCGCAGGTGCATGTCCCTGCGCCACCTGCACACGCACCTGCCCTGAGCCCCGCACGTGCGTGTGCGCCCCTGACCCTGCCCCACGCGTGTCCCTGCCACCACAGCCGTCCCTCGCGGTCCCCGAAGGCGCCCGCCGGGACCCGCTGCCCGTGCCGAGGAGCGCCGAGAGCCCGCCTGCCGCCCCGCCGCAGCCCCCCGCCCTCTCACCGCCCGCCGCCCCCCCGGGCCCCGACACCCCCGAGGGCGAGCGGCCCCTCACGCACGGTAAGCCCCGGCCCCGCTCCCACAGCACCCCCCGGTGGGGAGCGGCAGCCGCGAGCCCCGCGGCGGGGGGGGGTCGCGGCCGGGCCGTGCTGCGGGAGCCCCGCGAGCCCACCCGCAACCGCGGCGTGACCCGCGCGGGGCCGCTGCCGGCAGGGGGCGCGCGGGCGCCCCGGCCACGCCCCTCTCTGTGGGCGGGGGGCGTGTCCACACCCGGGGCCCCGCCCCGGCTGCCTGGGGCGCGCGGGTGGGGGCGCGGCCGGGCCCGCGCGGCTCCGCCCCTCGCGGGGCGCGGCCGCGGCGCCGCCGGCGGGGGCGGGGCCCGGCGGGGAGGGCGGGGCCGCGGCTGCGGGCGCGCGCGGCGGCGGCGCCGCCAATGGGCGCGCGGGGGCGTGTCCGCGCAGGCCCCGCCCCGCCGCCGCCTTTGTCCCCGCTCGGCCCCGGCCCCGCTCCCGGCGCCGCTCCCGCCGCAGCCCCGGCCCGGGCCCCCCGCCATGGCCCCCCCGAGCCCCTGAGCGCCCGGTAAGTCAGCGCCCGCCGCGGGGGCCCGGCCCGGCCCGGGGCGGCGGCGGCGGCGGCTCTGACCTCACTTCCGCATCCGCCCCCGGCCCCGGTCCGGCCCCGCGGCCCGGGCGAGGGAGGGGCGGGGGCAGCGGTGCCGCCGCCGCCGCCGGACAAAGGTGATGGGGGTGCCGGGGCCTGCGCGGCCCGGGGGCCGGCGGGCCGGGGCGTTCCGGGGGGAGCGGCGCCGGGGCGGGCCGGGCCGCGGCCATCGGGCCCGCTGGCGGGCGGGGAGCGGCTCGGGCCCCGCCGCGGCCGTCCCGCGGTGCGCCGGGGCCCCGCCGGGCCGGGTCGGGCTTTGCCGGGGGGATCGAGCCCCGCTCGGCCCGTTCTCGGGGAGATCGGCGCTTTCCGCCGTGGATCCGGGCCTGGCCGCTGCCCCTTCCTGCGCTCCCGGGCTGCGGCCGGGCCCCTCCGGGTGCTCCGGGGCCCCTCCAGCCCTTCCCGGCCCCCGTTGGCCGCCCGGGGCTCCCTGGGCGGCGCCGGGAGCGGCGGCAGCTGCTGCCCGCTCCAGCTGTATGGAAATCGCGGCCCCGCGTCAGCGCCCGCCCCTCAGCCGCGTGTCCCCGCTGTCCCCAGAGCCCCCCGAGCGCCTCCATGCGCAGCCCCGCATTCCCGGGATGACCTCGGGCTCCGGCAGCGCTGCCGCCACCGTCGCCGGCGCCGCCCCCCACAATGGTGAGAACAAACCGCCCCAGGCCATCGTGAAACCCCAGATCCTCACGCACGTCATCGAGGGCTTCGTCATCCAGGAGGGCGCCGAGCCCTTCCCGGTAACGTATCCCGCTCTCCCGCAGCCGGGATTGCGGCCGGTGGGCAGGCTCCGGGATGTGGGGTCCCGAATCGTCCCCCCTGCTTCGTCATCCGAAGCTGTTCCCGGTAGCGATCCCGCGATCTGGGGCTTTATCCCCCGACTGGGGGCTCTGCATCGCTCCGCGGTAGTGAGTGTTTTGTCATTCGGGAAGGCGCTGAGCTCTTCCCAGTGGTGTATCCCGATGTCCCTACCCCCGCTGCTGGATTTGGGAGGTTGGGAATGGAGCACCCACCCACCATCGTGAACCCCCAAATCCTCACTTGTATGATCGAGGATGTCATCCAGGAAGGGGCAGAATCATTCCCAGTAATGTATCTCTCTTTCTGCATCCGTATCCCTGATTTTGGAGGTTTTGGGAATGGGGTATCCAAACAATCATGACCCCCCCCCCCCCACCCCAAATCCTCCACCCGTGTGTTGAGAGCTTCGTGACTGAGAATAGGGCAAAAATGTTCTGGTATGATATCCCCCCCTCCCTACCCCTATTTCTGGAACAGAGGGATGTTGGGAATGGGCATCCAGGCCTTTGTGAACCCCCAAATCTTCCCCCACATTACTGAGCTTTTCATCATTCAGGAAGGGGCTGAGCTGTTCCTGGTAACGTATCCACCAATCCATGTCCTTATCCCTGGATTTGTGTGCGTGGGAGGGGGCTTCTGTATTTGGGGGGTTGGGAATGAGGCAGGCAGACAATTGTGAACCTCCAAATGTTACACATGTCATTCAGCATCGTCCAGGAAGGGGCAGAACCATTCCTGGTAATGCGTTCCTCTCTCCCTATCCTTGCTTCTGGATTTGGGGGCTGGGGAATGGGGCATCCACGCCATTGTGAATCCCTAAATCTTCACATTTTTAAGTTCCTTATTATGCAGGAAGGGGCTGAGCCGTTCCCAGTGATGTATCCCCCTCTACATGTCCTTGTTCCTGGATGTGGGAAACTGGGAAGAGGGCCTCCTGCATTTGAGGGTTGGGAATGGGATGCCCAGACAATCATGAGCCCCCAAATCCTCACGCACGTTACTGAGCATTCCCATCATCTGGGAAGAGACAGAACTGTTCCTGGTTACATACCTGTTGTCCTTCCTGGAGCTGAGGGATTGGGAAGGGGGCACTGGGATTCGGGGTGCTGGGAGTGGGTCACTTTGACAATTATGAACCCCCAAACCCTTGCCCTTGTTACTGAGCACTCCAGCATCCGGGAAGGGGTAGAATCATTCCTGGTGACGTATCCTCCTCTCCTTATCCTTCCTCCTGGACTTGAGGGGTTGGGAATGGGTCACTCAAAGAATGGACCCCACACCCTCGTCACCATCACCCAGGAAGCTGCAGAGCCGTAGCTGGTGACGCATCCCCCTCTCCTTCCCCTCATCCCTGGGTGTGGAGGGGCCACGGGAAGGGGTCGGTGTGGCGCTGGGGCAGCGGTGCAGCCGGCTGTGTTGCGCAGGTGGGCCGCTCCTCGCTGCTGGTGGGGGCCCTGCACAAGCAGTATGCGCAGGAGCTGCTGCCGGACAAGCTCCCACCACAGGACAACACCACCACCACCGACTCGGACATGGAGGAGCCGTACCTGCAAGGTAGCGCCCGGGCCCCCGACCCGCCCAGCCCCCTGGGAGCCCCCCGGGATCAGGCCCTCGGCTGAGCTGGCTGGTTTCTCTCTCTGGGTGTCCCTCCACGCCCCCCAGAATCCAAAGAGGAGGGGAACCCCCCCAAGTTGAAGTGTGAGCTCTGTGGCCGCGTTGACTTCGCCTACAAGTTCAAGCGCTCCAAGCGCTTCTGCTCCATGGCCTGTGCCAAGAGGTAACCCCTAAAGCCCACCCATCCCCTCCTTGGTGGGGTAGAGGTAACCCCAAAACCTGTGCTATCCCTCCATGGCGGGGTAGAGGTAACCCCAAAATCCACCCAGCCCCCTCCTCAGCCAGATAGAGGTAGCCCCAAAATCTGCCCAAGCAGGGTAGAGGTAACCCCAAAACCCACCTGACAGAGCAGGTGTGTAACACCAAAACCCATCTGGACTCTCTTCAGTGGAGTAGAGGTAACCCCTAAAATCCACCTGGGGTGGTGGGAGTAACCCCAAAATCCGCTTGACAGGAGTAGAGGTAACCCCAGAAATCCACCTGTCGGGGTAAAGGTAACCTGAAAATCCATTCAGCGTGGGAGGGGTAACCCCAAAATAACCAGCTTTCCCCTCTTCTTCAGTGGAGTAGAGGTATCCCCAAAATTCCCCCGGTGGAGTGGGGACCCCTCCATGACCCGTGGCTCCGTGCAGGTACAATGTGGGCTGCACGAAGAGGGTGGGGTTGTTCCACCCAGATCGCAGCAAACTGCAGAAACCAGGAGGGCCCCCCCACGGGCGGCGCCGCAGCTGCAAGGGGACCCTGCCCCCCCTGAGCAAGGACAGCAAGAAACAGGTGAGGGGGACAGAAGCTCATCCCCAGCTGGGGGATGTGGGGTGAGCATTGAGGCCAGGGTCCGTCCCCAGGTGGTTTGGCCTTGGGGCTGCAATTTGTTCCCAGTTTTGGGAATGTGGGCTGGTCCCCAAGTTGGGTTTGTCCCTAAATTTTGAGGGCACAGGGTGGGCGCTGAGCACAGGGTGGGCAACCCCATAACAGGATCCCCAGTTATGGGGACACGGATTGGGCACTGATGTCGAGTTTTGGCCTCAGGGGAATGTGGGGTGGGTGCTGAGCCTGGGGTTTGCCCCTGAATTTTGGGGACATGGGGCACGTACTGAGCCTGGGGTTTGCCCCTGGGTTTTGGGGACGTGGGGCAGGTGCTGAGGCTGGGGTGTGTCCCTGAATTTTGGGGATGTGGGGCAGGTGCTGAGGCTGTGGTTTGCCCCTGAATTTTGGGGACATGGGGCACGTACTGAGCCTGGGGTTTGCCCCTGGGTTTTGGGGACGTGGGGCAGGTGCTGAGGCTGTGGTTTGCCCCTGAATTTTGGGGACGTGGGGCAGGTGCTGAGGCCAGCACTGCCCCCGCAGCCGCCGGGGTCTGTCCCAGCGGGGTCGGTGACGGCGTCGTTGCAGCTCAACCACAGCCAGGAGGATTCCAGCCGCTGCTCTGACAACTCCAGCTACGAGGAGCCGCTGTCGCCCATCTCCGCCAGCTCCTCCACGTCCCGGCGCCGGCAGGGGGAGCGGGACATGGAGCTGCGGGACATGGAGCTGCCGGACGTGCACGGCCGCGACCTGCCCGGCCTCGGCCACCGCTTCCTGCCCAGCGAGCCCAGCAAGTGGAACGTGGAGGACGTTTACGAGTTCATCCGCTCGCTGCCGGGTGAGGAATGCCCTGGGATCTACCCGTAGATACCCAGCAGAGTGGTTTTGGGAAGGCTTGTGTCCCTCAGGATGTGTTCAAGGAGGGATTTACTCAAGGATAACCCTGAAATTGTGGTTTTGGGGAGAAATTTATTCAGAGAACCCCCTAGATATATTTTTGAGTAGGATTTACACACAGATAATCTCATATATTTTTGGGGGATGATTTACTCACAGATCACCCCATAAATATTTTTAGGGGAGGGGAGATTCTACTCACAAATCCATTAATATGTTGGGGTGGGAGCAGAGGGACTTACAAACCTAAGGAATAATTGGAGGAGGGGATTTACATATGATAACTCCCTAGATTTTTGGGGGGGGACTTAAGCACGGAGAAGCCCCTGGGTGTATTTTTGGGGGCTCTGAGAGGGTTTGCTGATGCTGCCCCTCGCCACAGGCTGCCAGGAGATCGCGGAGGAGTTCCGGGCTCAGGAGATCGATGGGCAGGCGCTGCTGCTGCTCAAGGAGGATCACCTGATGAGCACCATGAACATCAAGCTGGGCCCTGCGCTCAAGATCTACGCCCGCATCAACATGCTCAAGGACTCCTGAGGGGGGGCCACGGGACCCCACTCCCCCCGTGGGACCCCCGCAGGACCCCCAACGCGGCCCCGGGGAGGGGGCGAGGGGGGGAAGACACTTGTGAGCACACCCGGCCCCCCCTGCCCCCCCGGGGGTGTAAATAGCCCGTAGCTCTAGAGCCCCCCCTTCTCCAGCAGGGAGGGGGGTCCCCACGTGTTGCCCCATGTCCCCCCCAGGTCAGCAGAGCCAAGCAGGACGGTTGCCTTAACGTGTGCTCCCTCCCCCAGCTGGGATTGGGGCCCCCAGGGAGGCTTGGACTCCCCCCTCAAGGGGGTCAGGGAGAGGTGGGGGGCGCGGAGGAGGCGTCACCCCCCATTCACACACACCCCCACTCACTGGGCTGTTTTTGGGGGCACCTTAACAGAGGACAGTGGTGGGGGTCCTCCCCCAGGCAGGTAAGGACCCCCCCACTGCCCCCTCAGCCAGCACGATCTTTTTAAGAAAAGAAAAGGAAAAAAAAATTGCAAAAAAAACACATGGTCCCACCCCCCCTTTCCTGTTTTTTGTTTTTGTTTTTAATAAACACTGAAAAAAAAAAAACAACAAACCCCTGAGATCCTCCCAGTTTTCTTCAGTTCCCACCCCCAAATTTCTTCTCATGTCAACTAAGGCAGCAACTCGGGGATGTCTCCAGGTGCTACCGTGGGTGGTGGGACGGCGTTGGTGGTGTGTGACCTGGGGTCCCTGCTGCCCCCCGAGTTGGGACATGGGGTGATGTTCCCCTCCCAGGAGCCTGTGGTGACAGTGGGACCCTCCACACCTCCAGGTGACCCCAGGTGCCAGTGCTTAGGGGGACACAGGGCCCCGAAGTCGCTGAGGTGGGGAGGTGGTGGCATGTCACCGGTGGGAGGGGGTGACACATCCCTGGAGAGGGGTCCCTGGATGTAGCATCAGTACTGAGGTGTCCCCAGAGCTGGAGGTGACATGGCCACTGGTGTTGGTAGCAGCGTGTCCCAAAAGCTGCAAAGCACAATGGTGAGCTGTCCCCAGAGCTGGTGGCCAGGGCGGTGACACAACCTTAGAGCTGATGACCGTGGAGATGGCAGCCACTGTCCCCGAGGCTGGTGTGTGGTGACCCCAGAGCTGTGGCCACCATGAGGTGTCCCTCGAGGTGGTGACCTGGTCCCCAGGTGCCCAGACTGAGCTGTCCCTGGGGTTGGTGGCCACACGGAGGTCCCACCAGAGTTGGTGGCTATGGTGAGATGTCCCCAGAGCTGGTGTCCCCAGCACTGGAGCACTGTGCCACCCCTCTCCCTGGGAAACAGGACAAGGCACCTCTGAGGATGACCCGCAGCTGCACAGCCCCTCCTGCAGCCCCACAGGGACCAGGCCCCCACCTCTGTCCCCAGACACAGGGGAGTCCCCCCCAAACACAACCCCTCACTTTCATTCATTCCTGTTCTGGTTTTGGTTTTTTTTTTGTTCTCTTTTATTCTGTTTTTTTGGAAAGGGGCTGGGCTGGGGGAGTTTCATTCCTTTTCCACGCTGTGAGGCCATGGCCTGCCCAGCTTCTCCAGGAACCACAATGCAGGATGGGGGGAGTGGTGACTACAGGGAAAGGGGCAACTTTTTGTCCATTTTCTTCTCTTTTCTTTTTTTTTTTTTTTTTTTTTTTCTTTTTTTTTTTTTTGTGTGGTTTTTTTCCCCCTCTTCTTTTCCTTCTAATTCTCTTTTGTTCTCTTCCCTTTTTTTTCCCTTTTTTAATAAGGTACCAACTAGCTCTAGGGAGGCCTGGCCTGGCTGGGCAGCGAGGAAAATAAAAAAGCCCCAAAATTTGGGGGAAGGGGAGAAAAAAGTGGGGGCTAAGTGTATAAGAGGCATATTTACACAGTATTAACATGCTGACAAAAAAGGTTACAATATTGATATCGTACAACATTGAGAGGAGAAATAATGGGGGGGTAAAAAACAAGGGAGTAAAAATAATAGGGGGAGTAAAAAATAACAGAGGGGTTAAAAATTAATAAAAGGTAAATAAAACACCCTGGAAAAAAAAAAAACCAACAAAAACCCCAAAGAAACGCTGAGTTAAGGCTTAAAAAGTGTATAAAAAATAACACAGTTAATATCCAAAATGAACCAAAAAGTACAGAATATAGATGAGTTTGGGGGGAGTGCCCCCGGCTCTATACAGGGGGTATGTACAGGCAGGCACAAGGCAAAGCAGGGGGACCCCCGAACCCCCCAAAACTGGGGCTGAGGAATGGGGGGGCCGCCACCGGGGGGACGCAGCTCTGCCCGCGGCTTCGCCCTCGAAAGGGACCCCAAAAGAACACAAAAACCCCAAAAATGCTTAAAAATCAACCCCAAATGGAGGCGCTTGGGCCCAGAGTCTTTGTGGGGGGGGGTGGGTAGTGGGACTTTCCCCCTCCCCCAGCTGCTTTTTGCTCCATCCACGGTTCGTTTTTGGGGTGAATTTCTGGTCTTTAGCAGCACCAAGTTCTTGGCCAATAAATATATATATATATATTTGTATCCCAAAATGGGGGGCGGGGCCTGGCAGGGGGGACACCCCCAACCCCACTGCCCCCCCCAAAGAAACCAAACCGCAGAGATTCAAAGTGCTCTGAAACCGTCTTTGGATGTCACCAAACCTGCGGGAGCCGGGCAGGAGCACGGCCCGGGCGCGGCCCGCGGCGCTGGGGGTCTCGTCCTCCTCCTCCTCCTCCTCCTCCTCTTCTTCTTCCTCCTTCTCCTCTTCCTCCTCCTCCTGCTGGGGGGGTCCTGTCCCCTCCCCGCTTAGATGAGGGAGATCCGTACGGGAATGCCGGGTGACTCCGTCCGCTGCGGCGAGTGCTGGCTGACCAGGTGCTCCACCACCGTGTGTTTGGACATGTGCTTCATCAGATAGGTCTCCTGTGGGGGGCACAGGGGTGAGCGGGGGGCCGGGGGCTGCGGGCAGCTTCTGGGGCATCCCCCATGCTCACCGAGGTGTAGGCACGGCCGCACATGCTGCAGCAATAGGCCTTGGCGTGCTTGATGGCGTGTGCAGACAGGTGGATCTGCAGCGAGGCCGAGTCCGTGTACGCCCGGTAGCAGTTGGGGCACTTGTAGGGTTTATCCTTGTTGTGCTGGCGCTGGTGGGACTGAGGGGACAGAGGGAGTCAGGGGGGGACCGTGGTGACCCTGTGGCCCCCTGCCCCGGGTCCCCCCACACCGACCTGGAGGTTGGAGAGCTGGGTGAAGGCCTTCTCGCAGCCGGGGTGCGGGCACTTGTAGGGTCTGTCGCCGGTGTGGATTCTGGGGACACACGTTGGGTCACTGTCACCTCCCCTTCCACCACCAGGGACGGTGCCAATCCCACCCACGGGGTCACACCGGAGTGGGGGGTTACAGTGGGCACAGTGACATCTGTGCCCCAGGAGGTGACAAGGAAAAGCAGGGGACACATAGAGACGAGAGATGGGATTGGGAGGATGGAAGTGCTGGAAACTGGTGAGCGTGCAGGAGATGGACAGATGACCACAGTGGGGTGAAGTGAAGGTGGTGGGTGCATGGGGGCATGGTGGGGATGAAGAAAGTGGTGGGAAAAAGCACAGTGGAGATGGCTGAGCATGGTGGGGGCAATAAAGGTAATGAAGATGATGAGCACGGTGGCAATGGTGAATGTGGTCAGAAAGAAGGTAGTGGAGACAACGGAGGTACCGGAGACTATGAAGGTGGTGGAAATCTCAGGGATAATGAAAGCTGTGGAGTCAGATTGGCATGGTGGGGATGATGAAGATAGTGGAGATGATGAGCATGGAGGAGTCCATGGAAGTGCTGAAAATGATGAGCGTGGCAGGGATGACAAAGGCAATGGGGACAGCCAGTGTGGGGGGGAATCGATGAGCACAGTGGGAGCCGAGTGTGGCGGAGACTATGAGGAGATGATGACAGCAGGACCAACAAGCAGAGCAGGGCCATAAAGGATGTCAGGAGAGACTGGCGGGTGTGGGGTGCCCCTCTGGCTAGCAGGAACACGTGTCCCCAGCCCCTCGGCAGGGCGCTCACCGGGTGTGCTGCTGGAGGTGGGAGAGCTGGCGGAAGGACTTCTCACAGTAGGAGCAGTGGTAGGGTTTGACGCCCAGGTGGATGCGCAGGTGCTGGGCCAGGTAGGAGGCATTGGCGAAGGACTTGGAGCAGTGGGGGCACTTGTGGGGCTTGGCCTCTGTGTGCGACTTGGAGTGGATCTGCATCTCCGACTTGGTGAAGAACGTCAAGGGGCAGACCTTACACCTGGAGGGTGTGGGGGAGAACCCCGCAGGGACCGGGCTGGGGTGGGGGGGCTCCCCGCCATCACCCCCAGCCCCCACAGCGGGCGGGGGTGTGCCTACCTGTATGTCTTCCCCTCTTTGGCCGTCTCCCCTGAGGCCAGGATGGGGTAGGGCACCACCAGCACCGGCGGTCCCGAAGGGTTTTCCGCCTTGATCTTTTTCCGGCCCCGCTCAGCCTTGGGCGCTCCCAGCAAGCCGTGGCCCTGGATTGTCTTGATGGAGTCGAGGAGGGGGGGGCTGGTGATTCCTGAGATTAGGGTGGGCGAGGAGGCGATGAGGCGGCTCTGACTGGTGGAGGTGGGGGTCGAGGGGGTGGTGGTCCCTGTTCCCGGGCTGGACTCCGAGGTGCTGACGGCCGGTGCACGGGATGCCAGCCCCAGCCCTAGTGGCAATGTGACAGAGTATTAGTTTCAAGGGGACCCCACATCCCCCTCTGCCCCCCAAGATTGGCGGGACCAGCAGCCATACCTGTGACGGTGCTGGTGGCCGGCCGGGCGTGCAGGGCCACGTCAGGCTGGGGCACGGCCTGGGGGTGCAGCCCCGGCACCTGCTGCAGCTTTGGCAGGGACATGATGGACTGGCTGCTCTCAGCAGGCGAGGGGGGCACCAGAAGGGGCTGCTGCGAGGCCACCGAGGTGGGAGGCAGGTGCGGGGGGCGGATCTTCTCCGCCATCAACTGCTCCTTGATTTTGTTGATCAGGACCAGGTTGTCCAGCTGAGGGGGGAGAAGGCAGAGAGGTGGGTGAGGGCAGAAGAACTGGGATCCTTGGGACTTCCAGCCTCCCCCTCAGTGTTCTCCACATCCATTCATCCTCCCTCCTCCCAAAATCCAAGGGCAGGGGTCCTACCTGGCTGGGCATGGTGGGGGGGGGCGGCCAGAAGTAGGGGTTGTTGAAGCGAGGCTCCGCCATCCTGGGGAGAGAGGGGGGCGGTTATAGGACATCACTGGCTGCCACACTGTCACCCCACCCTTCCACCTTGAACCCCCCAAAACAAACCATCACCCCCCCAAGAAGCAAGACCCAGACTCTGAGCGAAGGCAGGGAGCTGGCAGGGGGGCAGGACTGGGGAACCCCCTGAGCATCTTCCCAGATGAAAATTCCTGTAGGATTATGGGGACACCAAGCACCTGCCTGCTCCAAGACCACAAAACACTGGTGAGTGCACTAGGACATTATTTGGAAAAGAAGAAAGCTGAAATTTGGGGAAAAACCCCAAGTCTCTCAAGCTCTAGAAGTATTTCTCCCATCCAGGAAGGGATTAGAGGTGGATGGGATGCTGCCATGGGAGAGGGCGAGCACAGTAGCACATTGAACTCAACACCAATCCCAGCTGAATCCCCCTAAAATACACCTCCAAAGCCAAGTGAAGTGCCTGTGACGCCCAGGAGCAGCTCAACAGGAACACCAGGAACCAGCACGGCTGGGAGATTTATGGAGACGCTTGAAGGTGTTGGGAAAATTCATTCTAAATCCATCTTTGGGTAATGGGAAACAGCTGGAAGGGGGCAGCAAGAGGATGATCCCAGCAGAGCAGCCCAGCATCACCAGGCACCACCACCCCGACAAATCCCATGAGGGATGGGACATGAGGGCAAGCATCTATAGGATCCTGATGAGATGTATGGGAGGGGGTCCCCCAGGAGCTCTGACTTCAAAATAAACCAGGCCACGGCAAGGATTCCAGGAGAAACTAGAGTGATGCCTCCAGAAAAGTGCATCCCCAAAAGCTTTGGGGGTGGCAGGATTTGGGGATGATGCTCTTCCTCCTCCTCCTCCCTGTTGCTGCCCCAGGTTTCAAACACACTCTGAGCTCCCCATAGGCAGGGGGGCAGCACGCAGAGAAAGGGAATCCTGGTCCCACCAGAATGTACCATCCCAGCAGCTACCGCAGCCTGAAGAAGCTGTGGGAGGGACCATGCCCGTTTTGGGAGGAAACCAAGGCAGGGAGGAAGGAACCACCTGCCCCTGGCGCTACGGAGCAGCCTGGCACAGGATGAGGTGTGTTCCAGGCTATCAAGGAATGGGAGCAATTTCTCATGGCAGCCCTCAATGCCACAGACTGTCCAGGACACCAACCCGGCATCGGCTTTGGGAATTCCCTTTCCCAGTCCTGAACCACTCCAGGTCACCTCCCGACTACTCAAGCACCGAATTTTAGGGTTTTGAAGTGATAGCAGGTCCAGATCCCAGAGGCACAGGCGGAGGCAAAGTCCCACTCCATGCCACAGAACAGGAATTCGCTGGGGATGTTACATGCACTCCCCATACACGGACGCAGCCGCTGCCAGCTATTTTGTGTAATTATATATGTACCCACAGGCCGCCCACAGCATGCATTTACCCACTGGCTACGTGTGTGTGTGTATATATATACACACATATATAAGATCTGTTGGGATGATGGGCACGGGATGAGGGATGCCGGTGCCAGCACGAGGGGCTGGACACCGGGAACCGGGGACAAAAGCAGAGCTGGCAGCAGGGAATCCCTTGTACAGAGGCAGGCAGGGAGCAGGAGCTCAGGCAGGAGGGCTCTGAGCCCCCTAGGCATGACCAAGCACCCCGGCACCAATCCCCCACCCCAGAGCAGCCGTGGGAAAACAGGAAACTGGAGCTATGATTAGAAAAGGGTTTTTTGGAGCTGATCCCCCGTCTCAGCAGGTGCCCCGTGACCTCTGTCCTTCCCATCCGTCCATCTGTCCATCCTTCTCCCTGTCCCGATAGCATGCCGGGCTCCAGCGGAGCCAGCAGCAGCACCCAGACAGATCAAAGCCACCAGCGTGGCCCCCGAACCACCACCAGCACACGGCACCAACCCCCACACCAGTCCCAGGATCCTTCCTGCAAAGCTGGAGGGGGCTGAAAAGGCACAAAGGGTATTTTGGGGAGAAAAGCATAAATATCACGTGTTTCCCCACCCCCACCTGAGGAGGGCTTACTAAAGAAATGAGAAATTATTTTGTAAAACCACCACGCTCAGAGCTGGATGAACAAGAGGGAAGAAATGGTCGGCATTGCCAAAATAATTATAAAAATCCCTGTTCCTGTCCCGATTTAATGTAACAAATTGTGCAGTGTTTCGTGGGGAGCGGCATCCCCTTCTCTGGGGCTGGGAAATGGAGTGGGAGGGGGAAGAAGGCAGATGGAAAAAAAAGGTATATATATTAAAACTCCCTTCTTCTCTATTCTCAGCTAACTATGAAAAATGGAAGCTGACATGCAGCAAAGGTGGAAAAAAAAAAGAAAATCCATTAAAATGGAAATTATGAAGGGTAGGGAATGCTGCGGCACGTCTCCCCCCGGCACTGCAGGGCACGGGGGGTGGTAGGGCTCTCTGTGCCCCCCCAGTTTTTGGCTGGGCAGGGGGTAACATCTCTTGGGTAACATCTCCAGTGGCGTGGGGTCCCGTGGTCCAAACCATGGTGGGAAGAGCCCCTGACATCCTCCACAGGCACAAGATTTGGCTGCTGAGGGGTTGTCGAAGGTTATCCCCAGAGACAAGGTGGGTGCCCAAAGCATGGTGGAGACCCAAGCAGCCCAGCCAGAGGAGAGGGATGTGGGAAGAGCAAGCAGGAAGATGCACAGAGCCCCAAAACCATGGGCTGAAACCCAAATTCCCCAGAACAGCACAGCACCCGGCACCACTGCTCAGCCAGGCCAAGGAGGGAAGCAGCAGCACCCTAAAGAGACCAAAAGCCTCCTGGCCTCCGCACCCACGGGCAGGGAAGAGCGGGAGAAGCCGGCAAGCCAGGGCTGGGGGTGGCGAGGGGAGAGCGGGGGCAGTGGCAGCGAGGGGCGGCAGTGCCGGGGCCGTCGGGGTCGGCGGTGGTTGGTACTCACAGGGTGGCCTCTGGAGCCAGGTGGGCGCAGCTGCCTGGGGAGACGTGTCGCTGAGGCTCCAGATTGATGGGAGGTAGATGATGGCACGGGTGGGCACGAGCTCACTAGAGCCTTCCAACTTCCTACCCAACTGCCGCTAAGTCAAGCTACAGTTCTCTAGGGAACGCCTCTACCTTGGCAGCCCTCTCTGTCTCGCCTTCGCTGAAATAAAAAGAAACAAGAGATTTCTTTTCACGCCACCGCCGAGAGAAAAGGGGCAGCTCCCAGGGACCGGCAAGCGACCACCAACCTGGTACAGCCTGAAAGTGGGGGGTCTGGGAGGTGAGGAGAGGGATTTGGGGTGATCAGAGAAGCACTTGGTAGCTAAATGTGTCCTCGACCAAGCAAGACACTGAGTTTGGTGTCCACAAGTGTCCCAGCAAGAGCATCAGGGCAGAGGTCCCACCCCCATGCCAAGCGGCGAGCGCAGGAAAGCCGGCGGCAGCCAGAGACGGCGCACTGGGGAGAACCGAGCCAGGGGCTGGATGCACCCTGCGCGCCCCCCACCCAAATCCCAGCGCGTCCTTCCCAACGCAGGCCAGACCAGGGATGGTCCCTGGGCCAGGGAACCCAGGGAACCTCAGTTCCCTCCCAAAACACAAAGCCATGGCCCCTGTCCCCTCTTAAGAGCAAGTTTCCCTGGGGTTCACCTGGGGCAGGAAGAGTTTTGGAGGGAAAGCAAGTGCCCATCCACAAAACTTGCATCCCAAGGCCACCAGGGTAGGAAGCAGCATCCTCAGGGAACACACATCCCTCCCTGCCCAGATGGGCCCCAGCCAGGAAGGATTCACCCCAAGGCGAAGAGGGCAGAAGGCAGGCATGGCTGCGAAGCAGGAACGCCGGGCGAGCCCCCTGTGGCTCGGGGAGGGGGTGGCCTGCACGCCGCAAGAATTCACCCAAGATGGAACCAATTAAACCCCCGGCTTCCGCCCCCCGAAGGGCCCTGGGCTGGGGCTTCTCCTTCTGCATTTCCAGCAAAACCAACCCAAAATGAGCCCCAGCCTGGACCGAGGGTCCCTGTGCAGGAAAAGGGGTGCACGGAGCAGGGTGAGGAGCCAAGCACCAGCGGCAAGTGGGAGGGGAGGCAAAGGCACACCAAAGACCCCCACACAGTGCCCAGCTCGGGGGTGGAGGAGCGGGAACCAGGGTGGCAACACTCCCAAAAGATGGGGGCCAAGGCGGTGTGACCCCAAATCCACAGTTTGGATCCAGTGACCCAGAGAGGGGACACGGGGACAGCCCGCACGGAGAGCCAGAGCCCATGGGGTAACACACCAGACACAGGGCACACACGCCCCACAAAACACAACACTCTCCAGCCTGAGGGGGTCCTGCCTCCCCCAGACCTCAAATACACCCAGCCCCCCAAAAAGAAACCAGCCAGGCACCCCGCAAGGCAAAGGCAGCACCGCAAACCAGCCTGGGGCAACTGCCCACCCCCAGCAGCAAGGCGGGGGGGTCACTCCTGGGTGACAGCACACAGGGAAACCGAGGCACAGGCAGGGGATCACCCTGAGGAGGGAGTGAGAGCACCGGATCCAACATGCACTTGTCCTGACATTGCGCCCAATGACCAAAAATCCACATTTTTAAGGGAAAAAGCAGAAGGTGGGGGGGGAGTTGAGGGTGAACGTTATTATTTTATGCATATAAAGGCACATTTCTTAAAAGGGAAATATCAAGGGGTCACACATACGCCAGAGAAGGGGTCCCCTCCCTGCAGAGGGGGTAGGCAAAAAGCCCCTCACACCCCCAAAACACCCAAAAAAAATACCATGCCCCCACTAACATAGAAATATATATATACACATATAATACCTAGATTCTGGTGTGCATATGTATATTATTTTCATAAGCACACATATAATTACATGCATGCACATCATCACACGAGATGCTATTTTAAGATGTAAATGTATAAAAGCAGGGGTGTTTTTTTTCTCTCCCTGTGATCCCCTCCATCCAGCCATCATGCCCACCTCTGCGAGTACTGGCGTTGCTTCCCCTTATCCGCGTCCATCTCCAGCTCTAGCTGAGACCGGGTGCTGCACGTGGGGCGTTTTTCTACGGGGGGACAAGGAGGAGGACAACTTCACACACCCCGAACCCCCCGCCAGCCCCCGGCGCGCGAGATCCCACAGCGGAGGAACAAAAGCGAAGCGGCTCCGACCTACCCGACCCGTGGGAACGTGGGGTTTTGCCTGAAAATAGAGAGAAAACAACAAAAAAAAAAAAAAAAAAAAAAAAAAAAAAAAAAAAAAAAAAAAAAAAAAAAAAAAGGAAAATAAAAACAAAACAACAAAAATAAAAAATAGTGGGTTTTTTTTTATAGCCCCGCTCATCCCCAAGCTGCTGGGAAAGCTGAGGGATCGGGAGCTGGCTGGAAAACTGGGGGGTGAAATCCATCCCCTCGCCCTGGACCCTCCGCCTCTCGGCAAATCACACGCCGTGAGGGACTTAAAAAACTTTTTTACCTCTCTGCTAAAATATCACTTTATAATCTCAAAGGCCTCGGGCTCGAAGCCGCTTTCACCTGCTCCATCCTCCCCAGGTTAAAAAACCCGGCTGCTATCCGAAGGACCGCAGGCTTGGGTGGGGGGGGAAATAACCCAACAAGGAGCATCCTCCAACCTTGAAGGGAGAAAAAGAAATCAAAATCATCAAATTCATCATTCCTGGGTTCAAATCCATCACTGTGGCCACGCCGGCTCTAAGCTCCCCCCCCCAGTCCCCCCGACGTGGCCAGGAGATTATGGATGTATAAATAGTATATGGCTAAATATATGTTGGAGAGGGACAGACAGACCTCTGGGACACAGCCACAGAAATTTGGGTCCCTCGCTAAAGCTGCCGCATTCCTGCCAAAAACGCCATGAAAAAAAATATCTCCCCCCCTCCATTAGACCTTCCAGCCAGCGAGACCACTTTACTAGACAAAACCAGTTAATGCAGAAAACACCGAAGAAAAGGAGGAAAAGAGGAAGGAGAAAAGGAATTAAAATGGTGAAAATTATAATAATGGTGATTATGATGATGGTAATGATAATATTCAGCCCCTGAGCTGCTTCTGCCACCTCCTGTAAGCAAAAAAAGTCAGAAAAAAACCCAAGAATGCATTAAAAAAGCAAACCCCCCCGCAAAACATGCAACATCCACAAAAATAGGTACGTTCGGCTCCAATTAACTTTTCCATTAGACCATCCAGAGGGAAAGAAAAAGGGAAAATCCTGGTAAATGGGTATTTTCCTCGATGTGTCCCCCCCCCCCCCCCCTTTCCCCCCCTTTTTTCCCCCCCCTTCCCTCCTCCTCCCGCCTGGAAGGGGGGTGGTGGAATAATGATGATAATAATGAAAAAAAGAGGTGGAAAAAGGCGAAGTTTGGTTAAGTGAAGTTGAAATCCTCAACCTGGGAGGGGATTTGCGGGGGGGGGAGGTTTGCCAGACAAAAAGGCCGGGGGATGGGGGTGGAAGGGGGGGTTTGGGGAAGGGGGGGTGGCCCGGCTGGGTGCTCCCCCCACCCCCCCTCCATCCGCCGCCTCTCCCACATTCTCAGACGTTTTTATTAAAATTCGCAGACAAAAGGCAAACAAAAATGGCAGCCCCGGCTTATTTTTAAAACGCTAGGACGGGGACGCCATGTTCTGCAGGGCTGAGGGG